ATCCATTTATATATTGGAAGCAGAACACACCCCCGAGAAAATTCCTTTTCAACAGATTGGCTGCTCATAGAATATCTCATCATGGAGGTAATTACATTAAATTAGATTTCACCATGGGGAAAGAATACATCACAACCACTTAAATCACTTAGAATTATGGTCCAGCCAAGTTAACATACAACCTCAGCTAACACAGTTGCTTTGAATTAAATTCTGATATTCAGTACTACATAATAATAGGAGCATTTTTGAAATTGTAGAAGAATGGCTCATTTCTTAGGGGAAATTTTAAAAATTACCAGAAGTTTCATGCCCCCTTTCCTATTTTTTATTTAAGTTTTTTTCTTCTTCTTTTTTTTTTTTAACTTATTCAAACCCTTCTTATTTTTGTTCATATCTAAATGAAAGATAGATATTCCCAAAAGCAGAATATCTAAGGAAGTTACTCAGAACACTCCTAAGCATTTTCAATTTTATGGGATTGTTTTCAATGCCAACTTTGGCTAATTTCAATTGCTTAAACAAGGTAACTCTAAAAGGAAGAATAATGAATATAACTAATAGATATTCAATAAGTGTCAGTAAATTATTTTATAATCCATGCTTTCAAGAAATAGAGAAAATTGTTCATTATAATGTTGAGTAAATTCTTTTACAAATTACAGAGTTTATCATTCATCAATTTAAACAAATTGAAGAAGACTATCCAGAAGTGTTTTAACATGAATTATAATTTATATAATTATTGATTATAAAAAGTAACATGATTTTGTCATATAATTCAGAATGGGTTCAAATAATTGAGTGGCTATTTTTATCTACTTGTCTATGTACATTAGACTTTCCAGTACATCAAATATAAAGGCAAAAAAAAAAGGAATAAGAGAGAAACAAAATACGTCCATACTGATTTATTCTATTCTTATTGTAGCAATAAATTATATTCCTCCACTTACATAAAATGCTATAAAAAATCATCAATCTCAATAAGGAAGTATTTCTCATATTTTATTTTTAATGTTTAATAATTAAATTTGTAATAGAGTTATATTTTCATCAGCTCTATTTTAAAGCAAATGTAACAGTAATACGATCCACAATTTTTAACATAAATCTACTGTCATAACAAAGAGTTAAATTTAAATGTGTATGTAACCATTGACATGATCATTATAAGCCATTTATACTGATGAAAAAATAAGTATCAGTTGACAAATGTTTAAGAAATTGCACCATTTTCAAGAGTATTTTTGAATATCATACAAAAACATTAAAATCACTACTGTATTTTTTTTAACATGTGTTCATATATTTGTCAGCACAACAAATTGTTGAATAGTTACTCATATCCATTTTCCCCTACAATGCTTGGTTGCCTCAGTGAAATGGTAAGTTATTGCAAGACATGAGCTTCTTTAATATTTTGGTTTCATCCTCTGACAATGAAAATGTATATTAATAAATTACTATTAAATTATAATAAACATCGATTTTTTTCCTGTAAGCAAAATACAATAAATCATTTTATTTATATTGAAGACATAAAATGCAGCAAATAGACTCAAAAGTAAAAAAAAAAATTAAAAACTTAGGATAAATGCATTATTTGCTACCAGTAGGAGCTACATTTTGAAATGAACTTCAAGTCAGACACATTTTACATCTAAAATTTCAGAAACACACTCAGAATTAAAAGCACTATAAAGCAGGAAAAGGTATTTCAAGACTTCCTTCTACCAATTATTTGTTTTGATCTTAAATGGAAATTCACTGCTCATCTTCTGTTTCCTAAATCATTATATCTAATTCATCAGATAGCAATGAGGTTAAAATATAAACAGGAGGTGTTTGACATTAAGTATTATTTTATTGTTGGGAGGAGCAGAGGTCACAGAACATTCCTAAAGACAAGTCAATTTCCTAATCATCTTTTGAATTATTGTTGTTATTATTATTTTTTTTTTTAGGGAGAAAAAATGTGAATTAAGAGTTGAAAAATGTATCCAGCAAATAGGGAGTGGGGAGAGCATGTTAATATATTTCTTCTAATTTTTAAGATCCAAATGCATTTCAGTTTCAACTCTATGTAGTACAAAGTATTATAACTGTGGCTCTCTGCACATTGATACGTGACACATCTGATATGACCAAGGCACTTTGGCATTGAGCCTGAAGATTGCTAAATGATCAGCCATGCTTCTGTCTATCGTGGCAGCTTCTATTTAAGGTTGAAGTCCACACAGTACAATCTCTTCGTGATTCCATGTCAAGTTGTAGCCAAAAACATGTCAACTCTAGTGTGCCATCATTTAGACATTTGTAATCATTCTGGTTAATTGCTATTTGAACTGACATCCCATTTTCATTTCCCCTACTGCCATCAACCTCAAATTTGTTCCCACGAGTTTAGCTACCATTTCCTAACTTCACAGCAAGAAAATAATATATTTGTCTGCAAATTTTGGGCAATATGCTCTCTCAGAAGTTAAGTACTTATATGAGTTTTATGAAGATATAAGCAAAGAGAAAGCAACTTGGATGTTAGCCATATTAAATTTAGTGTCTTCTCCCCTATTCCCATATCTTGGTAGAATTCTTCTAACAAGAGCCAAAGATGAAGTCCCAAGGAAATATATTTAAGCTTAGTTTAATGTACTAATAAGGTTTTGAAATAATATTACCTTTAAGTGATCATTACTAATGTGCTTAGAATTTTAATAAGTTAGAATGCAATGGATCTTCATAATTTAAAGAGGATACAGAAGTTCATATCGGCAAGGTTAAAAAAACAGAAATTACTCATTATCTAACATTTTTTCATAGCTGTTAATAATATGCTTCTATTCTCAAGAATGCCATTGTATGTTTCTGAATACTAAGGAAGGTATTTTCAAGAAAAATGTCAATCAGCACTGACAGAAAGTCACAAATGTTTAACAACAGAGGGCAATCTTCTCTAGCAATAGTATAAAACCTTCTAACTACACCCAGTGCCCTCCAGTACATTCTCACTCATAGTAACCCTATAGGACAGAGTAGAACTACTGCATAGGATTTCCATGCTGTAAATCCTTAGGGAAGCAGACTGTCACATATTTCTCCTACTCAGTGGCTTATAGGTTTGAACTGCTGAACTTTAGTTGTTGTTGTTGTTGTTACTGTTGTTATGTGCCGTTGAGTCGGCCCTGACTCATAGCGACCCCTCCTTGGGTTTCCCAGACTGTATCACTATGGAAGTAGATTGCCCAATCTTCCTTCTGAGGTGTGGCTGGTGGGTTTGAACTGCCAGCCTTCTGGTTAGCAGTCAAGTGCCTTAGGCTCATCATTGCAGCCACTGTGTCAATCCAATTTATTGAGGGCCTTCCCTTTTTTTTTTCTGCTGACCCTCTACTTTACCAAGCATGACATCTTTCTCCAGGGAATGGTCCCTTCTGACAACATGACCAAAGTAGATGAGACAAAGTCTGCTCATTCTCACTTCCAATGAGCATTCCGGCTGCACTTCTACCAAGACAGATATGTCCGTTCCTCTGGCAGTCCATAGTACTTCCAGTATTCTTCACCAACACCACAAGTCAAAATCATCAATTCTTCTTTGGTACTCCTTATTCATTGTCTGGCTTTCACACACATATGAGGCTATTAAAAATGTCATGGCTTGGGTTGAGTGTACCTTAGTCTTCATAAAGATATCTTTGCTCTTCAGTACTGTAAAGAAACCTTTGCAGCAGATTTGACCAGTGTAAAATGATGTCTGATTTCTTGACTGCTGCTTCTATTGGTGTTGATTGTGAAATGAAGTAAAATGAAATCTTTGACAACTTCAATCTTTTCTCCATTTATTGTCATGTTGCTAATTGGCTCATTTGAGAGGATTTTTTTCCTTTTCTTGAGGTAATCCATACTGCAGACAGTAGTCTTCAATCTTCATCAGTAAATGCTTCAAGTCATCTTCACTTTCAGCAAGCAAGGTTCATCGGCATATCACAGGTTGTTAATGACACTTTTTCCAAACCTGATGCCATTCTTTTCTTCATATAGTCCAGCTTCTTGGATTATTTGCTCAGCATACAGATTGAATAAGTATGGTGAAAAGATACAACGCTGTCTATCTGACATCAGCAATGGTATCCCTCGTTCTAGTCCTCTTCTGAATCCACCCTGCACTTCTGGAAGCTCTCTCCAGCTGTTGTTTAAATTATCTTCAGCAAAATTTTACTTGTGTTTGATACTAATGATATTGTTGAATAATTTCCACATTCTGTTGGATCATCTTTCCTTGGAATGGATACAAATATGGATCTCTTCCAGTCAGTTGTCCAGGATGCTGTCTTCCAGATATCTTGACCTAGACAAGTAAGTGCCTACAGCATGGCATCCTTTAGTTGAAACATCTCAAGGGTATTGGGTCAGTTCATGGAGGCTTGTTTTTCACAAATTCCTTCATTGCAGCTTTGATTCTTCCTTTGATACTGTTGGTTCTTGATCATATGCCACCTCCTGAAATGGATGAACATCAACCAATTCTTTTTGGTACAGTGAGTCTGTGTATTCCCTCCATCTTTTTCGGATGTTTCCTGCATCATTCAATATATTGCCCATAGAATCTTTCAATATCACAACTTGAAGCTTGAATTTTTTCTTCAGTTCTTTCAGTTGAAGAAATGCTGAGTGTGTTTTTCCTTTTTGGTTTTCTAACTCCAGACCTTTGCACACTTTATTATAATAATTGACTTAGTCTTTTCAAGCTTCTTTTTGAAATATTCTGTTCAGCTCTTTTTTTTCTTGTCATTTCTACCATTTTCTTTACATACTCTTCATTTAAGAGCGAGTTTCAAAATCTCTTTTGATATCCATTTTGGTCTTTTTTTTTTTTCCTTTATTGTCTTTTTAATGAACTTTTTCTTTCTTCATGAATGATGTTCTTGATGTCATTTCACAATTCCTCTGGTTTTCAATCATTGCTGTTCAATGCATCAAATCTATTCTTCAGATGGTCTCTAAATTCAGGTGTGATATAATCAAGGTCATATTTTTGCTCTCATTAACTTGTTTTAATTGTCTTAAGCTTCAACTTGAACTTCTGTATGAGCAATTGATGGTCTGTTCTACAGTCGGCTCCTGACCTTGTTATGGATGAAAATATTGAGCTTTTCCATAGCCTCTTTCCACAGATATTGTTGATCTAATTCCTATGCATTCCACCTGGTGAGGTCCACATGTATAGCCACTGTTTATGTTGTTGGAAAAAAGAGATTTTCAATGAATGAGTCATTGGTCTTAAAACATTTTATCATGAAAACTCCAGCAACATTTCTATCACCAAGGACATATTTTCCATAGATTAGCTTCTTTAATCTTTAGTGTTTGAAATTTGTTATTTTAACTAAACTGTTCCACAGTAAGCCAAAAGGGGCAGGATAAACAGATCTGTTATCAAATAATCCTAACGGGATACATGGTATAATGGGAGGCTTAACTTGCATCAACTAGAATAAAAACAACAGTAAGGACTTAATGCCATCAATATAGTTTATACACTGTTATTGCTGTTAAAAGCTGTCCTGTAGGCTCCCAACTCATGGGTAGCCCATGCCCAACAAAACAAAACACTTCCATGTCCTGCTCCCAAATATATACATACATACATGTATACATCTATATCTATATGTATGTGTGAAATTATAATGTTTTATGTAATACACATGTCTGGGGCTCCCCTTAATAGGCTGTGGATTAGACTGCTGTGTTCCATAAAGTTTTCATTGGCTGATTTTCAGAAGCAGATTTCTTCCTAGTCTGTCTTAGTCTAGAAGCTCCACTGAAACCTGTTCAGCATCATAGCAACAGGCAAGCCTCCACTGGCAGACAAATGGTAGCTGTTCATGAAGAGCATTGACTTGGAATCAAACCTTGGTTTCCTGAATGGAAAGGGAGGATTCTATTGCTGAACCACCCACTGGCCTCAGTTATGTTGGTAGAGACTTATTCAAGTTGAAATAAAAGCTGTTCCATTGTAACCAGAAGACAACTGACTATCTGATAACTTGAAAACAAATCGACTAAATGATTGCTTGCTACTAATAGTAGGCTTC